TAACTTTTTAAGATTCTCCTTATCACTCGAGCTCTCACTGAATGTGTCACTTCAACTGGGAACGTATTCTTCATGAAATTGTAACTCCTCAGAGTCTCAATCAACCAAAGTATAGATCACCTTTTGGACTGTGAAAAGCCTAGACCAACTTCACTTTCCTGTCAAAGTGCTTGGTTCATTAGCCGCTCGTTCCACAGTGATTGTTCAGTATTGTTTCACGTCAAACCACATAAAGTAAATCCAAACACGTGGGCAGCAATTCACAATGACTAACCACGAGGTCTGACCACGATTGACTAGTTATTTTTAGTTTGTGATGCATTGTTTTCATGTAGTAGCAAAGTACCGACAATGAGGGACACTGGTTTAGCGGCATATTAGGAAATTACTGCAGTAGTGGTACATCGGTCTGCTAGAGTTAAACAGAAGAGAAAACCTGATGATTTTATACAGACATAAATTTAGGTTTAAAAGCTTTCAGAAACAAATGCTTGGTGATTTTTGTTAACATTATATGGGAAGACATAAGAAATCAGACATTTTCAATGTTAAATTAGGAATCGATCTCACAGCACCTCGTGCACCCGGATAAGCACTCTATCCTCATCTTCAGCAGCAAGCAAATAGTGCTAATTCTGATGGCACTAGTAACTATCTGATTAGTTATCCGCTTTGCCTCTCCCTTGAGTGTTGGCCAGATACTTTGGTAACTCCTTGCAACGCCATTATCCTCGAATAATAATGATCTGTTTTTGCCTCTACACTGTTCAATCTTCCTTGAAAAACCGTTACAACATCTAGCTTCTCATATATCAATTCACCACCAAGCAGTGCAGAACCAGCCAGTCTATCTGCTTGTTCATTTCCTAACATGTCAGCATGACCTGTAAAAAATTACCAAAGGACGCTAACTACCCGGGACCTTTGAAGCAATGCTTGCCACTCTGTAAGGAGCATGCCTGTCTCCACCTTTCTCAACATGCTCTGTGAGTCAATTCCAATTATGATATGTGTGCACAGCATGCTCTCAAGGCAGTGGAAGGCAGAAGAGAGTGCCTCCACCTCCATTCTCAAACTACTGGGTAAGCTCTTGTACTTCCCAGAATTACCCGCTTGGCTTCCTTCTGTATTCGTCAGCTGACACTTTGATATGGTGAGCATTCCATGTCCATAATCTGTCACTGCACAATTCCCACCCAAGTGATGCGATTATCTATGCAGATGGCTCTGTGTTGAGGGGCAGATGAAATGCATAAGGGTTCTTAGTGAAGGCGAATAGACGTCGCTTAGGACAGCAAAGCCTTGTATATGATATCACAACATCTAGTTTAAGAGTGGAGACAGTCTCTGCTGCCTTCCGCTGGTTTGAGAATCAGCTGTACACACATGTCGTGATTATAACGGACTTACAGAGCATGTTGAGAAAAGTAAAGTCAGACATGCTTCGTGCAGAGCAGCAAGCATCACTTCAGAGGTCCCGGGTAGTGGATAGTTAGCATCCTTTGGATATTTTCTCCAGGTTATACTGTTGTGTTGGGAAATGAGCAGGCAGAAAGACTGGCTGGCTCTGCACCACTTGGTGGTGAACTGATTTATGACAAGTTAGATATTGTGAGGGCCCTTTGGGAGCGAGTTAACAGTCCCGAGGCGCAGATAGATCATCTTTATAGTCTAAAGAGAATGGCGCTGCAAGGAGTTACCAGGGGATCTGGCCGAAGCTTAACACTCAGGGGAAGGATGAGGGAGTGTCCCGAATGCTGTGATGTCAAATCTTAATTCAACATTTAACATTCAATATTGTCACTGCCAGGATTAAATGTTGGAACATTGTGAACAGCATTTTATGTTCCATGTACACTGCTGCCATAATCTTGAGAGCATTGAGTCTTTCTGGCATTTCACCTCAACTACCACCACACGATTTAGAGAAATGTCTGAACAGTTGTTGGTATCAGTAGTTAAAAAAGAAAGAAGATGACAAATACCTAGGCACATCCTAAGGATAAGCAGACAGAAAATTACAAAACATGAACTGAAATTGGAAATAAATGGACTGAAGAAATGAGAAAATCCTAGAACATCCCTATGACAAATGCTGAGAGGCTAGAGATGTTACACTGAAATCCAGACATGATATTGAAAGGATCAAACAGGCTAGACAAGAATAAAATAACTGACTGTATAGATAGCACAAGAGGATGATGACATGTATGCCTTCCAAATAAACTACTCACCCAGGTTACATTCTGTGGTTCTGCAGCGGACTCTATCAGCCAGTAGGTCAACAAAAGCTTCACCAATGATGGTACTTTTCATAGCGGCAATCTTTGGTATATACTTTGCAACCAGCTCCTCTGTTTCATTATCTGTAAGAATCAATCATAAAAGTAAAAGATTGAGTAAAGGACCCTTTTCCACGCCTTTAGGCAAGGGCATATAGGGCTAGACCTATATTTTATAGACCAATCAGCACAAATGGGGGATTTAGCCAGCATCACGCCTGCCGCTTTTACATTTCCGGGACTGCACCCACTCAAGACTGGGTCGACCTGGGAGCCAAGGTCATTTTGGAAAAAAGTCCGGCTTCGCCAGGGAGCGAACCCATGACCTTCTGATCCGCAGGCGAACGTCTAGCCGCTCTACCATGGTGACTCCCAAGAATCAATAATAAGCCAAGCATTACTTATTTTAAATAAGTATTTGTCACATAAGTAAAAGTAATTCAACAGAAAAAGAAATTTGTAACAATGGAAATGAGAAGTCAGAGAAGGACTGCAGGAGTTACCAGAAAAGATAAAATCAGGAACGAAGTTATAATAGAAAAAGTCATCACAGTCAATTATACAAAACATACAAAGACAGCAGATCAAATGGTGTGCACAATTTAGAGAGAATGCCTTGTGACTCTGTATCATACAGGGCATATACAAAAAAAGAGGAGAAGGACATGGATCCCAAGGTAGACCAAGAACAAAATAGAAAAATAATATTAGAGAAGTTTTACAATGTGTTAATGAAATTCAGGAAAGATACCACCTCCCAGAAAGACGTCAAGGCAATCAGAATGTTGCAAGAAACCTACCACCAAATGCTCATTTTAAAGCTCCAAAAGTCCGAAGGAAATTGATAGATGAAGAAACCAAACAGTCCAACCCAATCGCCCTTATGAACTCATCGCTAAAGACCATTGATTCTCACCCCGAAGAATGGATACATGTTTTTACTGATGGATCTGCATTCAAAGCTACCATTAAAGCAGGTTACGGAATCTACATAGGTTATCCCAGTGGATCTGATGAAGAGATTTTTGATGCATGCGGGAAATTCTGCCCAAATTATGAAGCCGAAATAATTGCACTGGAAACAGGGGAATACCACCTAAAGACTGTAATGGATGTTTACCCTTCAAAGGCCCAAAATATTGTCATCTTCACCGATTCACTGTCTGCTTTTCAAGCTCTGGAGGGCAGTGAACGCTGCAGAACTGACATAGCCAAGATAATTCTGGATGCTGATCAGCTTATTACCTCATAACACATCAGAATAGTGATGCAGTGGATTCCAGGCTACTCCGGCACACCAGGTAATGACAGAGCTGACAGACTGGCAAAGAAAGGAGCAACACAAGAACAACCACCTACAGCGACAACCCTACAGACAGCAAAAACACTTATAAGAGCTATAAACAAAGAGACTTGGCTGAACAGATGGGCCATAGGATATACTGGAAGAGAGGTCTTTAGATACATGGCTAAGTCCTGATCCTAACGACAGCGTTAACCATCTAACAAGAAAAGACCAGGCCACCATCTTCAGACTCAGAACACAACATACTCCATTCAGAGGACAATTAAACAGAATACAGCCACAAAACTCCCCAGAGTGCCAGCTATGTAACTACCCCTATGAAACTGTTGAACACCATCTCTTTCAGTGCCCAAAACTCAGCAAGATTAGAAGAATGCTACTCCCTCCGAGACCAGACAAGTGGAACACCTTGTACGGAGGAAAAGAACAGCTTGTGAAAACATGCAAGTTCCACTACATGGCATTAGGCCTAATGGCGAAAGCTCATGTGCCGCTGGATCGATAAAAACAACAACAATAGAAAACAATTTAGAAAAAAAAAAAACCAGTTAAAAAGTGTAGTTAAATCAATGTGAAACAATTTGTCAGTTACCTGTGTAAAATAATTGTTTATTTAAAAAGGATTTTTTTTTAAAAACTTCTCACAGGTCCCTTAATTTTTTTTAAAGCATTTGTGGAACGAAATTGTTATGAAACGGTGGTGATATGATGTTAGTAATGAACATTGGGGATATAATGTTAGGGCTGTAGTGTTAGTAATGAACATTGGGGATATAATGTTAGGGCTGTAGTGTTAGTAATGAACATTGGTGATATGATGTTAGGGCTGTAGTGTTAGTAATGAACATTGGTGAAATGATGTTAGGGCTGTAGTGTTAGTAATGAACATTGGGGATATAATGTTAGGGCTGTAGTGTTAGTAATGAACATTGGTGAAATGATGTTAGGGCTGTAGTGTTAGTAATGAACATTGGTGATATGATGTTAGTAATGAACATTGGTGAAATGATGTTAGGGCTGTAGTGATAGTAATGAACATTGGTGATATGATGTTAGGGCTGTAGTGATAGTAATGAACATTGGTGATATGATGTTAGTATTGTATTGTCAGTAATGAACATTGGTGATATGTTGTTAGATCTTTACTGTTAGTAATGAACATTGGTGATATGTTGTTAGGTCTTTACTGTCAGTAATGAACATTGGTGATATGTTGTTAGGTCTTTACTGTCAGTAATGAACATTGGTGATATGTTGTTAGGTCTTTACTGTCAGTAATGAACACTGGTGATATGTTGTTAGATCTTTATTGTTAGTAATGAACATTGGTGATATGTTGTTAGGTCTTTACTGTCAGTAATGAACATTGGTGATATGTTGTTAGGTCTTTACTGTCAGTAATGAACATTGGTGATATGTTGTTAGGTCTTTACTGTCAGTAATGAACATTGGTGATATGTTGTTAGGTCTTTACTGTCAGTAATGAACATTGGTGATATGTTGTTAGGTCTATACTGTCAGTAATGAACATTGGTGATATGTTGTTAGGTCTTTACTGTCAGTAATGAACACTGGTGATATGTTGTTAGGTCTTTACTGTCAGTAATGAACATTGGTGATATGTTGTTAGGTCTTTACTGTCAGTAATGAACATTGGTGATATGTTGTTAGGTCTTTACTGTCAGTAATGAACATTGGTTAAATGATGTTAGGGCTGTAGTGTTAGTAATGAGCATTGGTGAAATGATATAAGGGCTGTAGTGTTAGTAATGAACATTGGTAAAATGATGTTAGGGCTGTATTGTTAGTAATGAACATTGGTGAAATGATGTTAGGGCTGTAGTGTTAATAATGAACATTGGTGATATAATGTTAGGGCTGTAGTGGTAGTAATGAACATTGCTGATATGTTGTTAGATCTTTACTGTCAGTAATGAACATTGCTGATATGTTGTTAGATCTTTACTGACAGTAATGAACACTGGTGATATGTTGTTAGGGCTGTATTGTTAGTAATGAACATTAGTGATATGTTGTTAGATCTTTACTGTCAGTAATGAACATTGCTGATATGTTGTTAGATCTTTACTGACAGTAATGAACACTGGTGATATGTTGTTAGGGCTGTATTGTTAGTAATGAACATTGGTGATATGTTGTTAGGTCTTTACTGTCAGTAATGAACATTGGTGATATGTTGTTAGGTCTTTACTGTCAGTAATGAACATTGCTGATATGTTGTTAGGGCTTTACTGTCAGTAATGAACATTGGTGATATGTTGTTAGGTCTTTACTGTCAGTAATGAACATTGCTGATATGTTGTTAGGTCTTTACTGTCAGTAATGAACATTGGTGATATGTTGTTAGGTCTTTACTGTCAGTAATGAACATTGGTGATATGTTGTTAGGTCTTTACTGTCAGTAATGAACATTGGTGATATGTTGTTAGGTCTTTACTGTCAGTAATGAACATTGGTGATATGTTGTAAGGTCTTTACTGTCAGTAATGAACATTGGTGATATGTTGTTAGATCTTTACTGTCAGTAATGAACATTGGTGATATGTTGTTAGGTCTATACTGTCAGTAATGAACATTGGTGATATGTTGTTAGGTCTTTACTGTCAGTAATGAACATTGCTGATATGTTGTTAGGTCTTTACTGTCAGTAATGAACATTGGTGATATGTTGTTAGGTCTTTACTGTCAGTAATGAACATTGGTGATATGTTGTTAGGTCTTTACTGTCAGTAATGAACATTGGTTAAATGATGTTAGGGCTGTAGTGTTAGTAATGAGCATTGGTGAAATGATATAAGGGCTGTAGTGTTAGTAATGAACATTGGTAAAATGATGTTAGGGCTGTATTGTTAGTAATGAACATTGGTGAAATGATGTTAGGGCTGTAGTGTTAATAATGAACATTGGTGATATAATGTTAGGGCTGTAGTGGTAGTAATGAACATTGCTGATATGTTGTTAGATCTTTACTGTCAGTAATGAACATTGCTGATATGTTGTTTAGATCTTTACTGACAGTAATGAACACTGGTGATATGTTGTTAGGGCTGTATTGTTAGTAATGAACATTAGTGATATGTTGTTAGATCTTCACTGTCAGTAATGAACATTGCTGATATGTTGTTAGATCTTTACTGACAGTAATGAACACTGGTGATATGTTGTTAGGGCTGTATTGTTAGTAATGAACATTGGTGATATGTTGTTAGGTCTTTACTGTCAGTAATGAACATTGGTGATATGTTGTTAGGTCTTTACTGTCAGTAATGAACATTGCTGATATGTTGTTAGGGCTTTACTGTCAGTAATGAACATTGGTGATATGTTGTTAGGTCTTTACTGTCAGTAATGAACATTGCTGATATGTTGTTAGGTCTTTACTGTCAGTAATGAACATTGGTGATATGTTGTTAGGTCTTTACTGTCAGTAATGAACATTGGTGATATGTTGTTAGGTCTTTACTGTCAGTAATGAACATTGGTGATATGTTGTTAGGTCTTTACTGTCAGTAATGAACATTGGTGATATGTTGTAAGGTCTTTACTGTCAGTAATGAACATTGGTGATATGTTGTTAGATCTTTACTGTCAGTAATGAACATTGGTGATATGTTGTTAGGTCTTTACTGTCAGTAATGAACATTGGTGACATGTTGTTAGGTCTTTACTGTCAGTAATGAACATTGGTGATATGTTGTTAGATCTTTACTGTCAGTAATGAACATTGGTGATATGTTGTTAGGTCTTTACTGTCAGTAATGAACATTGGTGATATGTTGTTAGGTCTTTACTGTCAGTAATGAACATTGGTGACATGTTGTTAGGTCTTTACTGTCAGTAATGAACATTAGTGAAAGGCAGTTGTCAGTAATGGAAATTTGTTATGTGATGTTAAGTCCCTAATATCAGTAAAGAACACTGACGAAATGTAGTTAGGTCTCTTTGTCAGTAAAAAAACATTCATGAAATCATGTTATGTCGAGACTGTCATAGAGGACAAAAGGAAGACAGCTGACAGAGCTAAAAGGAAAAAACAGAGAATGAAATTGTAAATTAAAAACATGAACACATGAATAAATACCCTTTGCAACTGATTTGTCTAGCAGAATAGGATTTCCTGACCATGCAGTTGCTTCCCCTTTGTCGTCAAACGTGACATGGAGCTCTCCCAGATATTTCCCAAATGCATAGTCTTGCACGACCAACACCTTTCGTCCTCCGTGTATATTGTTAACTACTGTTGGGTATTTACCTTCAGCTTTCTCATCTGAAGGATCTTTGCCTTAGAGGATAGATGGAAATAAACAGATTTATAAAACTTTAACTGTAAATCACCGTTTAATAACTTGTTTCACCACACACAAAAAGGCAACGACATGTCCCTGTCCCATGAAACTATCTGGGAAGTCAATGCAGTCAACAAGTCCTCGATAAAGTCAGACGTGCCAGCCAAAAGCACAAATATCAAATTTTTGCTGTAAACAGGCACAATGCAATTACATTGCTTAGATAAACAATAAGAGGATAACTTGTTCTTTCTCTTCCTCCGGTTACCTGTAAGCACTGAAGTCTGCTGGGATCAGATCAAGGGAAGTCTGAATAAATTGTGTGTAGAAGTCCTTGGTAAGAAAGAATAGAAACAAAGCGTGGATAATGCCAGAAACCATTAAATGATTGAAGACAGAAAAAGTAAGAAGGCAGATTCAACCAATAGCAAAACTAGAGCTGCTAAAGCTAGAACACAGGAAATATACACAGAAGCTAATAAGGAAGTTAGGAGGTGAATAAGGGCAGATAAAGTGAAATATCTAAATGATCTAGCACAAGAAGCGGAGACAGCAGCAGCAAAATAAAACCTCAGAGATCTTTACAGTGATACAAGGAAATTAGTAATAGTCAGCCAACTGGATCAATTAAAAATAGTCAAGGAAAGGTACCCACCAATACTAAAGATCAAATGGACAGATGGTCTTAATATTTTGAAATACTTCTAAATAGACCAGACCTAGAGGTTCCTCCGGATATCCAGCTTTTAGAAATGGAACTGAATATCAACTATGAGATACCATATAAACAGGAAATTAAAAAAGCTATCAATCTTTTTAAGGAAGGGAAGGTGGCAGGTCCAGAAGGTATCCCAGCAGAATTTATTAAGGCTAGTATAAACACATCAACAGAATTGCTAAATAAATTATTTAGTAAAGTCTGGGAGACTGAAGAAATACCAGCAGACTGGAAAAAAGGTTATCTAATGAAACTGCCCAAAATCTGTAGGTGTGTGAAAACTATAGAGGAATTATGTTGCTGTCAGTTCCTGGAAAAATATTAAGTAGGATTATTTTGGAAAGATTAAAAAGGCTACTGATTAAAAGCTAAAAGATGAACAAGCAAGTTTTCGGTCAAACAGATCCTATACTGACCAGATAGCCACATTACGTATAATAATAGAGCAGAGCATTGAAATTAATTCACCACTTTACATTGGATTTATAGACTATGAAAAGCATTTGACAGCATTGATAGGGAATCTCTCTGGAAATCAGTTCTTTCTATGAGTGCCAATCAATACATTGTCTGTTTGTTTAGTACATATGGAAATTATTGGGGCACTATGGCATCCCACAGAAAATTATTAACTTAGTAAAGGCAACATATAAAGACATGAAATGTTGAGAATGGGGGATGTCTTTTGTCACCTCTCCTATTTTTACTGGTAATAGACTGGATTATGAAGACAGCAACTGCTAACACTAGGAATGGAATTCAGTGGACCCCTACACAACATCTTGAGGATCTGGACTTCGCTGAAGAATTCTCTCTTCTGTCCCACTGACTGAATCAGATGCAAGATAAATTAAATATACTTAATGCAAGATCACAACAGCTAAGTCTGAAAATCCTTAAGAGAAAGACAAAGATAATGAGAATATATCAGGCAAATAGTAATGTGGTTTCTCTTAATGGAACCCCACTCCAAGACGTGGAGTCGTACACCTATTTGGGCAATAATTTAGTTAAAGATGGAGAAACTGACAGAGATATTAAAATATGAATACTAAAGGCAAGAGGAGCTTTCATAGCACTATGGATTTTGTGGAGGTCAAAAGAAATCAAAACTAATACTAAACTTAAAATTTATGAATTCTAATGTCAAATCAATACTGTTGTATGGAACAGAAGCATGGAGAACAAATAGGGCAATTACTAATAAACTACAAACATTCATTAACTGGTGCCTGCATAGAAATGAGAGAATTAAATGGTATGATAGAATAATCCCTTTACAGAATAGAGAGAATTAAATGATATTATAGAATCCCTGTACAGAACAGAGAGAATTAAATGGTATGATAGAATCCCTAATACAAAGCTTTGGGAGAGAACTAAACATTTCCAGTGGACCAAGAGGTGAAGAACAGACGTTCGCTTTGGATAGGACACACGTTGAGAAAACCTGAGAACAGAAAACTAGAGTGTCTTTGCACTGGAACCAACTGTGGCAAGGGTACACAAAACAAAAGACAAAAAACACATGGAGAAGGAATCTAGAGAGTGAGGTGAAAAAAGACATAGGAAGAGCTGCATGTGACAGTGAGGGACAGAATGACTTGGCGTGAGCTGGTTGAGGGCCTATGCTCCACTGGGAGTTAGAAGGCAGAAGAAGGAGGCCTCTCTCTGGGGATTGGTACCAAGGCATTCTTTCAGATGGCTAAACTATTTCATCTATTTAAATAAAGTGTTTGAGTGATTTCAGTCAGTCTTCTGATTTTTTAAATTCTCTTTCTCTCTCTCCTTTCTCTCTCTCCCCTTTCTTTCTCTCCCCCTTCTCTCTCTCTCCCTGTAATCTACTTGTCTGTCTACATGTGTCTGCCTGTCTCTCTCTCTCTGTGTATATTCTCTCACTCACTCACTCACACCAACACCCACGCACACATACACACGCATGCGCACGCACACAACGACCCACCCATATATCATCATCATCATCATAAACCACCTATGCCACTAAGAGTCATGGGGAGGAATAATCTGCGATCCAGTCCCTGCTGGCTGGCCCTGGCTATTGCCATGCCGTGAAGGCGTCAAGTGTTTATATGTTGTTGATCCATCTTTTCCGTAAATATATAAAAGCTAAATATCCTGACTCATCCATGAAGCTGCACTCTCCACAGCACCTTTATGTTTCTTTGTCATGACATGTAACATTTTCTGTCCCCCATGATATATACTCAAATGTACTCACCACTATACAAAAATGTATTGGTATGTCCGCCCACAACGATGTCCACATCCGTCAAGCGTTTGGCCAGCTCAATGTCCATTGAATAGCCAGAGTGACCCAATGCTATGATTATTTTTATCCCCTGTGCCACAAGTTTATCTATTTCTGCCTGAACTGGTCCAAGTTCATCAGTAAATACAACCGTTTCTGAAAAGTATATTTTTAAATATGCATTTTTATACTGATATTAAATGTGGATTAATTCTTCTAATTCTTAGTGTTTTGCCGAAAAATTTCCATTGTCGGTATTTACCATTTTTGCAGTGTAGGCAGGAGGATTACTGAGCCTGAGGATCAAAGGCTGTAAGGATAGTGCTACTGCCATGGCCAGTGTGGAGGTAAGGATTTTGCTGTTGTTGCCTCAATAGAAAAAAATCCATGACCTTACAGAGGAGTTGACTCTGGGTCTCCTGCACGAGAGCCTAGCAATCTGAAGCTGCTTCTCTTAGCTTTCACAGTCCGTAAACTCTGGTGGATAGTTCTGGTTGTTTGTCCATTTCTGAACTTTAGTTTTGTTTAAAGCTTAATTTCTGCAGGCACATCTATTTTACAGAGTTGGCTTTTATTATGCAGACCGCTAGTTGCTTTCTTTCCAAGCAGATACACTCTCACGTTGAAGGAAAAAAACAAGTAATTAGTTGCCTCTTACGACATGCTTGCTAGGGCGCAGTTGGTCTTTTCTTCCCCCTCCTCACCCCCCAAGTAGGGATCCAGGAACCCACACGGGAAAAATACAGATTTCAAAAGTAACATCATTAAGAAGGTTAGGTAACTTCCACCCCACGGGAAATATAAGACCAACAAAGTCATTTGGCCTGGCCCTGCTAAGCAACAGAAATTGAATTCTCACCAAACAGATCAGTCTAATGTTTAGATTCATAATTTAGTATGGCAAAATTTCTGGCCAAGAGAAACACCTGGCACAAGCCAAACTTTTCAGTTCAGTGATTGAATTACAACAGACAGTGAATTTCATACTATAGACAACTTTGCAGATATAGATAATCTACTTCAAGCGAATGAAAGAAGAAGAGGAAAAATATGGACCATAATTCTTCTCCTGTGTTCATCCAAAGATGCAATTACATTCTGCCCGTTTACATCATAGCTGCGATATTTGCACCTTTCGGCTGACACATCCAGCTTCTGCAAGCATTTAAAAAATCAGGTCAGCCTTCCTGGATGGCCCGCTGTCGATATTATAAATATTCAAATGGCCCTTGACAGAAAAATGATTCCAAGACGTATAATCTAATTAATAGTAATTACACAGAAAAATTATCCTTCGAATTCAACATTAAAGTAAATGAAACTAGTTAACATAAGTCAATGTGTTCAAGTATTATGTACAATAGCCCAATCAAAATCAGGATTATATATCGTATCGATATCATCATTAATATCATCATCAATATGATCATCAATATCATCCTCTTATGTCATTTATACATCGCTTCGGTTTCGCAGTCTGTTCCTCCATTCCGTTGAATTCTGTGCAATCTTTTCGATATCATGAATTGAATGCAGGCTAGCACCTTTGGCCTCTCTCATCCGTGTTTGTCTTAGGGTTTCTCTTTAACGTCCTTGTTTCTTCAGTCAACTTGTTTCCCATTTACGTGCCTATTTGGTGATTCACCTCATTATGTGTCCAGAAAATGTTCCATCTTCCTAATATTTAGGGTGACCATAATATGTTGAGCTGAAAACGGGACATCCAAAGCAAGTCAGTTTACCCCACCCCCACCTTTTTTTTTTAAGGTCACAAGAGTGAAAGGGTTAATAACTCGCTCGATAATGGTTTTGAAACTTGCACCACTGTAGCAAAGAAGTAATTGAAAAATATACTGTTGAACTGTAATGGAAGAAAAGCATGCTACACTGTAAATTTATTTAAATACATTTCAGAGAATAAACATATCTAAAACTAGGAAATCAAATAAGGTCTTCAGATATAACTATAATTGCATGTTCTTTTGTAGAGTTCATTCATGGATTTTTATAAAACAGGACTACTGACCGTTTTTTTTTTTTTAAATTTGTTGTTGTTGTTTGTTTTGTTTAGTATGACCGGGACACGTTTAAAAACCGAGACTGCAAGCTTGGCCACATAATAAAATTTGTATTAGACAGGACACCACAGAAAGCAATGTTATACAGTGGTAACTGGACCAGAAGTCGACCATGGAGAAGATGAACAGCGGAAAAAACAAAGGCACTTAAAATTACTGTGTACCTAGCAAAAAGAATGGTCTATTCCAGAGATCTCTTCCTTCCTTGATGTTGCAAAACATTTCAAGAGCAGCGAAAAAAAAGAATAGGAAGTACAGAGGATAGCCACAATGTTCTTTGTGTCAAATTCTTACCTGGTGAAGAAATGTAAGGAGTCTCAGTTGTAGTGTAGCCAACAATACCAATTCTCTGCCCCTTGACTTTAACAATTGTTGATTTCTTGACCACGTCCAGGTCTGGCGTGTTGCTGACATTTATATTACTGGCTAGCAGAGGGAAATCTATGCTGTGTGCGAATGGAGACAGGCCCTTGACCCCTGAATCAAATTCGTGATTACCAATAGCCTGTTGGGAGATAAAACAACATCATGTAAGAATAAAACAAATACTGTGCAGACTTGATAAGGACTTTAATGAATAAATCCAACAATGTTAGTAAGATTGTCTAATTATTCATAGTACAGTTTCTATCATAACTCAGCTCAAAGCAAAATGTGAAACAGTACAAATTACATATCGGTAATTTAAATAATTTTGCGATATGTAAATATAAAATAACAAGGTACAACAAACAATTCCTGGCCCATACACACCTTGATTGGCTGTACATTCATGCTTGCTGACCTTTCACATGCGTGACTCTCTGTTGCAGGGGTGTCAGGTTGTATTGTCTTCGACACTCTCATCGGTGATGACGCCTGCTCTATATTACACTTTTAACAGTCACAGAAGTTCTAGAACTGGCCCTAACTCAACCCCCACCCCACTAAAGCCTATGCCTACGCTCCACATAACTGCAGCCTATGTCCTTTGGTTTCAGAACTGTTAGCATTTTCAGGTCGGCCCTCCTTGTCGGTTGTCAACGCTGACAACTGAAGTAAATTCATGTCATACTTAAAGTCCGAGAAGGCTAGAATATACGCAGTGTCACTTGCAGCTCAGAACATCAGTAAAACACAATGTGTACCTGGCCACCCACATGAAGTGCAATATATACATAACAGAACAAAATCTGACACCCCTGTAACAGAGAGTCACGCGTGTGAAAGAATGAATGGCTAATCACAGTGTCTGGACCAGGAACTGTTACCTGAACCAGTAACAAATTTATACTCTGAGAAATCAATTAACACTACATATCCCAATTCTAACTCTAAAGGTTAAATAGGACATGGTTGAAAAAATTAATACTACTTGATAACGAGAACTCATAGGGACCCAAGAAATATATATAACATCATCTTATCAGAAAATCCTCTTTATATATGGCAATGCATTTACAATGTGCAATACAACAGTGAACTAGCATTGAATATGACAGATGTAAGACACACGACAGTTGTCACCCACATAGAACTGTAGGTCACACCTGGCTGGTGTAACCCTTATGTGTGCCCTAATTATAACATCATTGGAGGTTGATCAGGCTATCTAGAATTTAACATGCTGGGCTGACATCCCGACTGAGATCGTATCCCAACTCAGGATGTTAGGGTAAACCTTCAGTTAGGTAGCATCCTGGAGGGGACAAACAATTTATTGACACAGAAAATATGTAAATCACCTAAAGTGTTAATTTAGAGGGGAAATAACTCAAATTCTGACACCAACAAAGGATTAAATTATATAGACATCTGTAATCAATCAATGTATCCAAAAATTCTTGATAAACAGATTCCGCTCTGCCCGACAATTTTTACAAAGACGACAAAAATGAAAAATTGCAGGCATGAACAAATTGTTTTTTACAACATAAATTACTGTCCCAAATACAACATATCAAGGCAAAATTTCGGCCAAGAAAAGCATAGGTGCAAGTCAAACTTTACGGGTCACTGAGTGAGTTACAAAAGACAGAGACATCACTGCAGATACAGATAATTTATTTCAAGTAAATGAAAGAGGAAGAACAACAACAACATAAATTTGAGTTTCTAGTTTTGTAGTTTCATTGAGGCCTTTAAAAAATGGTCTCTGTAATCTTTTTGAGTGGTTAGTTTTCTTAACCACTTGCAAATAAATCTTGTTAATTACATGAGTTGGTTGAGGACCTATGCTCCACGGGGAGATAAAAAGTGATATAGAAAGATATTTAGAATGAACAAACGAACGAACACATTTTAATTCAAAAGGGTTACAAATTGGGCACACAGGTTCATCTTACATTCGGCCCTTCCAAGCAATTATCTTCCAGATTGCAGTTGCATTTTATATATCAAACATATTATGTTAATATGTCAAAATTCATTGTATAAATGTAAATAATAAATGTGAAGGCATGGATGATAAATGCATATCTTCATATACATGCATATGAGACTGAATCAGTCTAAAAAAGATCATTTGAATCTTTTTTTTTTTTTTGGACATAATTTTATTAATAAAATTGGCTTTGTCAAAAACAAAGTGCTTACTAAGCAGCAGAAATCCCAAATGGTTATAAAATAATTTTTTTCAGTGTATTATTTGCCTGAAACTAGACGTAGTCATTTAATATTCGATTTGTCACAACCATCCCAAACTGTGGAGCAATAATCAAGATGTATGTGGATGTAAGATACATAAAACAGTTTTCCTGTGTTTTCATCAAGAAAATGCTGTATTCTGGCAGACTGATAAACTTGCTGGGCTACTTTCTTGGTTATTTCACGAACATGAGAGCTTCAAGTTTAAAGACGTAAATTAATAAGGCCCGAAGTTGTTAAGTTACAAAACAGAGGAATTTGCAATACGAGTTCTAGCGGGCTGGCAAAGGGTAATGGCTTTTTGAAAGTTAGTGTATGTAACTTTTGTCTGTTTGTTAATACCATGGATGTAGTTTTATTTATATTGATTTGCATGCCAATACCATTACTCCTTCTAACAAGATAATCCATTCATTCTGTAAGTAATGTCTCAACACCTTATAATTCTCATGACTAGAATATATTGCACATTCATCTGCAAAAAGGCCATACGTTACACGAAGATGTAAAGATAGGTCATTTAATATAAGTAGCAAAAAGCAGTGGACATAGAACTGCGCACTGAGGCACACCAGTACTTATCTGTGTGGATTTTGAAAGGCAGCTGTTGAAGGACCCCACTTGCTGCTTATCAGACCAAAAAACCTTTATTAACTTTGCTAAGTTATCAGTAGTTTTCAAAGATTTGTAATCGACTAATTAAAATGTTTTGTTTTTACCATG